TGTGGGGCGGGGCTTGGCTGGATGGGCGCGGGCGGGACAGCGCGTTCAAAACTGCGCAGGCGCAGAGCTAGGCTTCGGTCTGCCCACCGCTCCTCCCGGTTTCAGTCTTCTCTCGGTATCTGGTCTGATTAGTGGCTCTGAGGTGCTGCCTAACGTGGGCAGAACGCGGGCACCACAGACTGCCGGGATAGCTTCTGTCCACCGGCCTAAGCGAGGAGACCCCCTAGGGTCACCTGGGAAGCAAGAGCAGCCCCTCCATCACGGGAAGACCCGGACCGAGGCATCAGGACTGCAGCATGGGGCCACAGGACTAGGGTCATGGGACAGCCCACCCCGTCACCGGACCTCCCTACCCCTCCCCAGACCGTCACTCACAGCCCCACCTCCTTAGGACCAAGAAGCACACCAATAGCCGAGGTCCCGGGCACCCGCTGGTCTGGGTTGTGTGGGTGACGCCCCTGGGGCCCCAGACAGAGGTGGGCTGGCCCTGAAGGCCATGCTGTGGAGGGGCAGTGTTCTGCACACACTGTTTTGGATGTCACCGTGTAACTGCCACCACCTTGGTGGCTGCAGACATCCAGAAGGGGATCAGGGGTGGAAAGGGTGCACCCCCCCACACCCCAGTCCTGTCCTGGTTACAGATGGCAGTTCCAGCCAGGGCTCCTCCCTGCTGTGTCACTGGTCCTGAGGCCAGGCGAGAAGGCTAAACTGGAAGGGCAGGGCTTGGCTGGGATGGGAGGGGCTTCTGGTTACCCTGGGCTGCAGAGTGAGAGGTAGCATTTCTCCCTGCCCGGACAGCAGCTCAGTCCCCAGCCCTGAGCAGCATCTCTGCCACCATGTACTTCAGAGTCCTGTCTTAGAGCAACAGGTATGGGAGTGACTGGCTGTTGGTCCTGGAGGATGCAGGTGTGGGTCCTTTGGTGGCCTCCACCCCTGCTCCTCAGCCACCCTAAGCTGAGCCAGGCCCAGGCCTGTGCTGCTCAGATCCCTCTCCTGAAGACAGCAGTTAGCTGGCAGCTTGCTTCTCACACGACTAGTGTTGACACTCCTGGCCACACACAGTATGAGGTGGGGAACAGAGGGTGTTGACCTCAGTGAGCCGAGGTCTTGTCCTGGACCCATGAGCTGTCCAGCTCACACTTATCTCCAGAAGTGGCAGATGAAAAAGCAAGGGAAGGAAACGTCAGAACCCTGAGGGCGTTGCATGAACAAAGCAAGTGCTCACCACTGAGCTGCACCCCACTACTGCGGCATGGTGTATTCACCCTAGAGGAAGGAAGGCAGCATGCCATCTGAGAATCTTTCCAGTTCATTGGAGCTGACTGCTTGCTCCTTAGGGATTTGTGTGATAGCAGAATCAGCCTCTGTTTCCTCCCTGCTAAGTGAGTTTTCCATGAGAGATTTCATGAGTCTCAGCTAACAGGGAAGGCCTAGCCCATCCCTGTCCTTTAATGACTTACTCTCAGCTACTTTGGAAACATATTTTAGAAAAAACCCAGAAGGCAGTATGCCAAAGTCAGGATTAGACAGGGAGGCCAAGGGCAGGTCTTCACTTCTCATGTTCTTATACTGTTTCATCCCAGAAATCCTTTCATAGATATGTGCTTTCCTCCTCTGGATGGGTTGCACATAACCTGCCCAGGTCACAGGGAAACCCACCTTCAGCAGTTGTTACTACGGTCCTCCCCACTTTCTTCCCTCCTGCTTCTTTTCCTAGGAAAAGAAGAAAAGACCTTCTCCTCTCTAAAGAGCAAGAGTCAAATAGGAAGAAAATGGCTAAAGAGGAAGTGGGAAAGGGAGGGGAAAGGAAATAAGGAAAATGAAAAAATAGAAACAAAGTCTTTGTAAATAGGAAAGGATGAAATGGGTGAAGGGAAGGCAGAGGTATTGGGGAAAAAATAAGAATCAAGACATATCATGTAAAGGTACAAAGATCCCAATGATAAATGTAACTATTGTTTGCTTTAAATGTACCAATAAACTTAACAGAAAAAATAATAAAAGAAAGAGCAAGAACCCTGTGAGATCAGAATAATCTTCAGGGACTGTTAAACTCTAATGTGTTCCCTGGGGCCTGCAGCTCACCCTGCCTGCGATGGATGATAGTGGTATCTTCCGCTTACCTGAGGCCACTGTGTTCTCCCTGCAGGTGCAGGAGTCTCCTCAGGGGTCTCTGCCAACTCTCCCCGAACCTCTGGGGGCAGCACCCTGCCTCCCTCCCAGCACACCCACAAAGGTGAGGGGGCCCCTGTCCAGGGTAGCTTGAGGGCTACACAGTGGGAGGGGCCTGCGGGGATGTTCACGACATTCCCCCTGACACCAGCAGAGCTCTCGAGCCAAGGACACCTGGCCACAGCCCTGATCATCGCCATGTCCACCATCTTCATCATGGCCATAGCCATCGTCCTCATCATCATGTTCTATATCATGAAGGCCCGGCCTTCCGCCCCAGGTGACAGCCCCCACCATGCCTCCCTCTGGAAACTCATCCCTGGCCCAGGGAAAGCCTGGCTGCTCACACCCACCTTCTCTCCAAGCAGCCTGCTGCAGCAGCCCCCCAGGGAAGAGCGTGGATGCCTCTTCAAGCCAGGATATGGAGAAGAAGGAGGCCCCAGGTCTGTTTTGGGGGCTGGGACATGAGCTGTTCTGACTTAGGTTGGAGGATAGTGGGCAGGGGCACCAAACTGAGCAGGGCCGGCTGACACTCCCTCCCCACTCCCATCCCCTGCAGATGGTGTGGTGATCTTCCCAGAGAAAGATGAGTTTGAGAAGCTGACAGCGACCCCAGCAAAGACCACCAAGAGGTATGAGGCTAGTGGCCAAACAGGGATTCAGAAAGGGTCCCTGGGGAGCTGCTTCTCCATGCAGGGTTTTGTGCATCTGGCCCATCTCCCAGGGACTTTCATTTCCCAAAGTGGACAAGAAGCCCAGCTGAGGTGGGGAGCTGGGGACTTGAGAGAAATACAAGCATATTCTATACCAGAAGGCAGACGGCCTCAGGGCTTTTCCCCGCCTCATGCCATGGGGCCCTTCGGATAGGACCTGGGGTGTGTGGCCTGTGGCCTCCTAGGGACAGCACTCTTTCCCACCTGGTGACTCCTGAGAGGCCCTGAGGCCTAGGAGGAGGCTGCTGCTTGCTCTTCTTCAGAGCTCCAGGACTGCAGCCCAGTTACTGGCAAATTCAATCCTTTAAAAAAAATCCATCTGGGGCCTGGGTTTTAGCTCAGTGCTTCTGCCTTGCAAGTACAAGGACTTGAGTTTGATCCCCAGTACCCCCCAACAAAAAAAAATCCATCTGCAGATGACTGCAAGAAGTCAGCAGGGGGCCAGGGATTTAGTTCAGTGTTGCCTCACTTGCCTCAAAAGTGCAAGGTCCTGAATTCGATCGCTGGTACCAAAAAAAAAAAAAAAAAGTCAGCAGGACCCTAACACCCGTGGGACTCTCCCACTACCATGTCCATGCCCTGTGGTTACACCCAGCCTCGTAGGCCTGGGCTCCACTCACAGTGAGGTTGGTTCCAATCACAGCCTCAGCTGCTTATTACCACGACATCTCAGCCAACTCAAGCACGCCACCCAGCACCTGTTCTGTGGCCCTTTATCCAGCACCCATTCTGGCCAGGTGGGAGGGGTAAGCAGGCACCATCTGACCTCAGTGTCTCCACAGTGCCTCAAGAGCCCCGAGTACTGCAGGTCACCCCCAAAAGGACAGTGGGAAAGAATGAGGAGCAGTGACGTGTCTGTCCTTCCCCCTTACATCCCATGCCCAGAGACATGAGGTGCACAGGAACACTGAGGAACACGTCACAGCACCTGCCTGTCCACAGTGGGCAACAGGTCACCCCAGGAGATATCATAGCACCTGGCTGTCTACACTGGGTAGCAAGCCACTCCTGGGAGGTGTCACAGTGCCCAGCTGTGCATACTGGATGTGGGGGTCACCCAAGGAATGGTCACTGTGCCCAGCTGTCATCTGTCCTACGGACCCCGGCAGGGCTGTGGCTTCCCCGTGTGGTCAATGTGCACCCCTCTTGTCCCCAGTGAGAATGATGCCTCATCGGAGAATGAGCAGCTGCTGAGCCGGAGCGTAGACAGTGACGAGGAGCCAGCGCCTGACAAGCAGGGCTCCCCGGAGCTGTGTCTGCTGTCGTTGGTACACCTGGCCCGGGAGAAGCCAGCCCCCAGCAGCAAGTCAGCCGGGGTGAGGACCCCCAGTGCCCGTGATGTCCCCATGGTGATCCCCAGGGATAAGCTTCCCAGGACAGGGACCTCCTCCTGGCCTACACCTGCTACCAGACAGGGACAGGGTAACAGGGTAGGCAGAGTCAGGAAATGTCTCCCTGTGTGTGTGCCTCATAGATGAAAACAGAAAAGAGAAAAGTGTAAACGCCCTCGAAATGCCAGAGAACAGAAAAAACCTTTGTGACAGTGATGTATGGTTCTGCACGTGTGTACACAATGCACATGTGAATACACACAAAGTCAGCCCTTTGTGTCTTCAGGTTCCAAATCATTGGGTTCAGTCAACCCCAGGACAAGCAAGCCTGCATGTGTACTAGGTGGACTTTCCCTCATTATTCTCTATACATTGCAGCTCAGCAGCTCTCTGCACAGCATTTACACCTAGTGACCTAGAGTGATAGTGTACAGGGGGTTGTGCACAGATTCTGTGCGATTGTCAGGCCCTGTTACATGGGATACTTGAGCATCAGCTTCTGGGGTCCTCTGGTCCTGGAGCCAGTCCCAGGAACCCAGGAACAATCACACCCAGGTCTCCATATTTCTGCAAACTTCTTTGCACATATCTTTCACAGCGAAATGGCTCTCTTACACACACTGTCTGGGGTTTTTATCTCAGAGCAGGCAGCCCTGGACCGTGCGCCCCAAGTGTGGGCTCTTGAGGACCACCTGTGCCTTTGAGTATGGGTCTGTGCCTCAGCAGCCCAGCCAAGAGCAGCACCTGGAGAGAAGGCTGCCTGGGTCTGAGTCTGGCTATTCCTGCTGGGACATAGTGCAACCTCTGTGCAAGGCCATATTCACAGGCACCCTGGGGGCCTTGGTTGTCACAGAGGCTGTACGCATAGGGCTCCTCATCCAGAGCCACTCAGCATCTGTCCTTGCCCCAAGGAGGAGAAAGTCCCTGGCTCTGCCCTCAGCCAGCTGGGTTTCACCCTGGGTCACCCTTCCCAGATCTCTATTCCATGTTCTGTGGAGACAAGAAGACCAAGGGTACTAGCTGGGGGCCTGAGGGAATCTCCTTCCTCATGCAGGCTGGTGTGCAAAGGACCAGCTACACCAATACCACCACCACCCCAACCTCCTCGGCCAGGGCTCCCCTTGTGAAGTCAGAGGTGGAGCCAGCCAAACACTCTGAATTCTTTACAGATCCAAAGCCGAAGGAAGAAGATCCTGGATGTGTATGCCAACGTGTGTGGTGTTGTGGAAGGTAAGCATGCCAGGGCCACGCAGAAGACATGGCTGGACATTCCAGGCGTCCTGTACCTGTCTGAACCAACTGCAGATGTGAAGAAGGGATGGATACTTGGGCTTCCAGAAGGCTGAGCCCCTTCTTGCCATTCCCAGCATCCCTCACCCACAGGACAGGAAATGTCAGTACAGTGACAAGGGCGCGAGAGCCAAACGGTGGAGCCAGAAAGCTCTGACTCCTGTCCCCACATGGCCTTGTCATGATGAACATTCATTTATCCAGTAGTCAGTTTCCTGACCAACTGGATATGTCCTGGGAAACACACACAGGTGATGTCACCCACCACAGATCTGTCAAGGGCCACAGGCACCATGGGGCAGTGTGTCCTTGTCACTGGCAGTCCCCTCATCCCTCCTGAGGTGGACAGTGCTGGCCACAGCTTCCACCTCCTACCACAGCTGCCTCTCCAGTGTAGTGGATGCACCAGATACAGGCAGGTGAGTGGTCAGAGCGAAGACTCAACCTGAATCCTAAACTGCAGCAGAATCCGTCCCTGAGTGACCCTCATTCTCTTGAGGGTGAACCCCTCACTGCCATTGCTGGGCTTGTACACAAACACACACACACACACCTAGCAGGGCAGCAAGAAGGGAGCTGGGCACCCTGGTACTCACAGCCCCAGGGGCCTGGCCAGGGTTCTAGGCCACCTGCCTAGCGGACCCCAGTCCTCCAGGGCTTCCCATGTAGTGTGATCTGGGGGGCTGCGTCCCAGTGCCCCGAGTTCTCTGTTCTGAGTATAGCCTGGCTTCAGGGGCCCCTGCCCTGGAATGGGGGTTTTCAAGTTACTTCAGGAGCCCCAAACACAGGGCCCTCCTCTGATGATCGGTTGTGCTCTCCAGGCCTCAGCCCCACGGAGCTACCCTTTGACTGCCTGGAGAAGACAAGCCGCATGCTCAGCTCCACCTACAACTCTGAGAAGGCCGTGGTGAAGACCTGGCGCCACCTGGCTGAGAGCTTCGGGCTGAAGCGAGATGAGATTGGGGGCATGACAGACGGCATGCAGCTCTTTGATCGCATCAGCACAGCGGGCTACAGCATTCCCGAGCTGCTCACCAAGCTGGTACAGATTGAGCGGCTGGACGCTGTGGAGTCGCTGTGCGCAGACATTGTGGAGTGGGCAGGGGTTGTGCCACCTGCCTCCCCACCCCCAGCTGCTGCATCCTGAAGGCTCCGGGGCCTTCCCATCCTCCTGGGAAGAGCCGCGGACCCCGGGGCCTTTGCAGCTGTGGAATCCAGGCTTTTGCTGGATCACCGTGTGCTTTACAGGAAGCAGCCCTGCCTCCTGTCCTGACCTGGGTGAAGGTTGTGCAGTGCTCCAGCCCTCGGCCTCCCAGGCACAGGGATATTTATCCACTGACCACCATGGATTTGCTTGATGGATGCCCTGTACCAGGAAACCAGACCCTGCAGAGTGATGGGTCTCTAAGGAGTGGAGGCTCAGAAGGAGGCCAAGGAGCAGTGTGAGGAGGAGAGGCCACAGATGTGTTCCAGTCCTGAGAAGGCGCAAGGGTTGCCCAGGCAAGGACAGCAGTGGCCCATGTGGCAAACCTGTCAGAACATAGCATCTGGGGCTCAGTGCCATCTGTGGACCCTGGAGGGAGCCTTGCTCTGTGTCACCCACACACAAGGCCTGTGTGTCCTGTCACCAGACATGTATATGGCATCCAGCCCCACTGACAGGGCCTAAGACAGTGGTGAATGGCCTTGAGGTCCTCAGGCAAGCGTCAGTGCCCCAAGACACATGTGTCAGACCATGCTTGCTTGACACAGATCTGAGAGAGGGAAGGAGAGGAGGGCCCTCCTGCAAGCTCTGCCAGCACTGTGCTAGATGTCAGCGGTGTAAGAGTGGTCAAGGCTTGTGGCCAAGGGCTTCAGACTCGGCCTGGGCTGATATCCCAGCCCCTTACTCCCAGCCTCAGCCCTGGAGAGCTCAGCTTGTGATGGTACAGTCAGGAAAATGAGCACTGGGTGAGCTGGAGAAAGAAGCAGATACAGCAGGAGAAAGCAGCCCAGGGCTCCACTGGTGAGCACAGTGCGGGCCAGCAAGAAAATGGAAATAAGAGGACACAGCTGGCTTCTACGTAGTACCTGAGACTGAGGACAGAGCTGATGTGACACACAGCTCATGCAGATCTCACTGACCATACCACTGTGCTGACTGCTGAGTGAAAACCAAGTCCTGACCTAGTGACAATTTTATAATTCCAAGTCCCACAAGTGAAGAAATGCATGGGGCTCTGTTGCACAAGAAACAGCCTCCCACCACAGGGTGCAGGGGACACCGAGAGGACCGATATCGGGACTGGATAGTTAATGTCATCACCAACTTCTGCTGTTGCATCCCAGAACCCATTCTGTGCATCCTGTGAATCTGCAAGCTAAGTGCTCCAGAGACACTTCATTGTCCTCCTTCTGGAAACCCTGCAGCGCCCCTGGTGGTGGTGGTGGTGATGAGTCATCGCTCCCACCTGTGGTTAGACCACAAAGGTCACAGGTGAGCAGTGTCCAAGGGGTCAGGGTGGGGCGTCACCCCATCAGGCTCTGTCCGAGCTTGAGCTTGAGTTGGCTCCAGCTGATGCTCTGTTAGGCAACTGTTCAGAGCTCCCCCACATGTCATTTATTTACCTGGAAATAACGAGGAAGGCTTGCTTCTGCTGGGGTTCTGAACCTGAGTCAAAAAGATTCTCACTGACCTCACAGGGCCTCCACTAGGCCACTTGGTCTGAGATGGTCACTACTTTGCAGTACTGAAAAGTGTTTACGAAATACTCCCGGCGAGGCCTGGGCCCTTAGCCAGTGGAGTCTTAATTGTGAATATGTCTACCTGAGTCTGTATATGTAATTTATTATATTTTATAATCAGTAAACACACTCATGAAACAGACATTGCCATGTGTGCTGTATGTGTGTGAGCTGTACTGACATGTGTGAATGTGTGCAGCGAGTGCTGGGTGGAGACATTGCCAGGCTGCCTGTCATGGCTGGCTGTGCCTGTGTACCAGGAGACTGCAGAATCCACCACTGTAAAGGAAGCCCCTGGCACATGGCCCAGCCACTCCCTCAGGCGAAGCAAACATTGCAGGATAGTATAAAAACCACCCACAGCAATAGTTTCAGGCTGTCACAGGTAGTTCATGAAGCAATGTACCACACAGCTACTGCTGTGTAACAAAACTGCCCCCAAATCCAGTGGCATGCAGCAGTCATTTCTCACCCTAGCTCAGGAGCCAGCAGGGGTCAGAAGGCCTTGGACCTTGGCCTCTGCCTGCAGGAGGACTTTATGGGTAGCTCTGCCTGGTCATCCACCATTTTCCCACAGTGAATGAGCAAAGCATGTTCTCACTAGGGCAGGAGCCGAGGGCAGACACCCAGTGCCCAGGACTGGGGAGGTATGCACACTCACACTCACACACACCCCACGTCATCAAATAACAAAAGCAGGGACATGGGAATAACAGTCAGCTGGTATCACTGCAAGAAGTGCCAGAGGAGGGCCAGGGATTTAGTTCAATCACAGTGCTTCGAAAGTACAAGGCCCTGAGTTCAATCCCCAGTACCAAAAAAAAAAAGTGCCAGAGGTGTCAGTATATAAAGAGAGGTCTGTCATGGCTCTTGGTCTCAGAGGTCCTGGTAAGGCCCACTGGCCCTGGTGCTTGGCCTGTGACTGTGGCCAGGCTGCAGGCCATGGCAGAGCATGGGGCACAACTGTCACTTTGTGATTGGGGAGCAAAAGCAAGGAGGAGTGAGGTCCCAGTCCTCTGAGCACAAGATTGGCCAGATATAACGTGTGACCATTAGAGTGTCACCAAGAGAGGGCCTCTACTGTAGTCCTCAACACAGTATTGGCCAGATTTGTTATGTCAGCCAGTGTCACAGGAAGCAGGTCCTCTGTACATAGGATAGGACACACGTGTGATGGCACATATCTGCCATTACAGTGTCTCACAGAGCAGGACTTCTGCCCTCAGTCCTCCATGTACAGGCATGGTGGCATATTTCTACCATTTACAGCATCTCACTGAGCAGGTCCTTGTGAGCATCCTCCTCTCCTCCTACCCATGGCAAACCTTGACCTTGTTACTGTCTCTATAGTTTAGGCTCCTGCAGCACTGGCAGAGTTGGAGTGTCCAGCACTAGCTGTGGGGATTCTCAGTAATGTTTGTAAGTTTTGTCTGTATCCTTTCATGTCTTGAGAGCTCATTTCTCTATCACCAAGCAACATTTCGCTGAACAGAGGGGCCATGGTTTACCTATCCATTCACCTGCTGTTGAGGGTCCTGGCTGCTGGGTATGCTACGATCCATTATATTCTGGGTTAATTATAATCCTGTGTTTATTCTTTAATATTTTTTGTAAGCCGTTTCCTTGCTTTTCTTAGGTCACCATAATCTTTATCTATTTTGATCAAATTATTTTCTCAACATCATTACTAACTCATCAACCTCCAGGTTGAATTTTTGAGGGGGTCTTGCTATGCTGCTCAGACTTGTCTCAAATTCTGGGCTGCCAGGTACTCACAGCCTCCTGAGTAGCTAGGATCACAGCAAACTCAGTCTGGCTTGATTGTATGGATGGGTTCTAGCCAGTAGGGTTCCACATGTTGGGGAAGTGAGCAGTAATCAAGATTCTGTCAGAACTCTTCAGCTATATCTGAGCAACAAAGAGGTTGGGAAGGACTGGCTTTCTAGCTAAGTCTGCCTGGAGTTCACCTGTTCAGTTCAACTTTGTCAGTTCCAGGTGCTGCTATTATTTCAAACCACTGGGCCAATATTATCCTGCTAGGAGTTGTACTTGTAAAAATCTGACCAGCAATAAGTACAAAGTTTTAAAATATTACACAGAATAAAATAGTATATATTTTATTACACAATAATAAAATAGTAGTATGAACTAGCTTTATATATTGGTTTTGAATCGTAAGCCCAAGTGTAAAGGCAACCAGGTAAACAAATCAATCTGTGGCTAGATATTGGAGGAAACTAGAAGAATTCAACATGCTTCAGATCATAGCAGATTTTAAAAAAAGACAATGGACAGGGGCACAATCTAATAACAGGTGTAATATAGGTTTCCTTTTGAAAACACATTTTTAAAAATTATAGTAGTCCCACTTTTAGCAAATATAATCAAACTAAGAGCAATTTGTACAGTGAGTTTAGCGTCATCAAGCCTGCCCTGATTAAATACATGTAGCAAGAGAGTGACTGACCACACAGAATCTGGGCGTCTAAATCCCCTCAAGGCTAGCAAGGAAACCAGGGCAGCTTTTGATGTTTTTACTTACAAGACTCATAGACATTTTTTTCTTTTATTTTGCCCTTACAAGACTTTTTTCCTCAAATGAAAAAAATTACTTTTCAAACATTTTTAAAGCCAAAAAATAAACATTTTTGCATCTCTCTCTTCCACTTATTGATTTCTTTTTGTGTTTTCTATACCCACATTTTGAAACAATCTTTATTACCTTGGAATTAAGACAAGTTTGTTTCTTAAAATCATGGCATCCTATATTTTTATAATTTTAAAACCCAAAATACATCTTTTTGCACTATGTATACAGGATTATAGGTGTTAATTAGAATTTCTTTCAGTAGCTGATTTTAGTGAAAACTTAGGAAGCAATTTTGAATTGTCTTTCACGTGCCAACATTTATAATACAAATTCTTTCTGTCTCTCTCTCTCTCTCTCTCTCTCTCTTATATAATATATATATATATATATATATAGTTTGTAATAAGAAGCCAAAAGTAAACTAAGATTTTAGTTACTAAATAATTTTGTATATACTTTTATGCCATCTTATAATTTATTTTTAACAATTATTTTGGATTTCTCATAAAGACTAAGGCATCATCTTTTTTGACAAATTGGAAAAATATTTAAAATATTATAGAAACAGAGAAACTCAGGATTAAGAGTTATGCATGCTTTTCTCTCTCTTACTCCTGTGACTGAAGCACCATGCAATTCATCTTTGCCATGGGCTCTGTTCTTGGGTGCCATTTATGTCTTAGGGCCTTAAATCATCTTGCAGAAATGAGGATAAATTGTCCTCAGCAAAAAACTCAGATGAAAAATGAACACTGACAATTCTGCAGGCATTTGTATTTTTATTTTATGAGCAACTTACCCAAGTCGTGTAAACTTGAAAGCATTTAGGGTTAATTCCTGGTTTTCTTTTTTTTTTTTTTTTTGGTACTGGGGATCAAACTCAGAGGGACCTTGCGCAAGGCAGGCACGGTGCCACTGAGCTAAATCCCCGGGCCATTTCCTGTTTTTCTGAAAGTCTGATTTACAAAAGCATTTTTCTTTAAAGTCAACTCTTTCCACAGGTACCAATAGGACAGCTGTTTAGGATGAAACTCTCTAAAAAGTAATAATTTTAGGGCCAGGGATTTAGCTCAGTGGTTTTGCCACCTGCCTCACAAGTGCAATGTCCCAAGTTCGATCTCTGGTACCAAAGGGGGAAAAAAAAGTAATACTTTTAGATACAAAATTCCAAGTCACCAAAGAAATACCTACTTTAATTGTACTTAAAACTAAGCTGTGATGGCTCCCCGAAACCCCTAGTGTTCCAGGGAGGGTATAAAAGATGAAGGCTGCTTCCCTCAGGACCAAAGTTTCTCCCACAGATGGTCCAAGAAAACGAAGACCCTCCTTATAACAAGGCAGCACAGGTTCTGGCAGCACAACATTCTTTAACTACTACATGAGGCAGAGATGGTGGAAATGGGTATTGCTTCTGGGAGACTGCAAATCATTAAAAAATGGGAACTAGGACCAAATTTACAAGAGTCACAGCTCAAGGAACTTATTTTTACAAATGTTTTTCTTTCCTGTCAACCCAAATCTAGAGAAAAAAGGCAGAAGAGAGAGGAAGACAGAAACTTTTATTTCATTTTCTTTTTCTCAACAAGGCTGTACAGAGATCAGGACCACAGTCTCGGGACCACAGCAGGCAGTGCTGGAGGAAGCAGGCGCTAAGCCTCAGGGTCCCAGCTAAGTCTGGAATTGGAGACAGCCCATGTCTCATGGGCACAAGAGCTTTGTGAAGACTCCAGAGCAGTAGTGTTAGGCTCTACACAGACACAAAGACAGGACACCAAAAACCAGGTTAATTCCAGGGTGTCCAGTCCAGAGGCATTAAACAGGAATGGACATTTACTGGAGTATGAGAGGATAGCTGAACCCAAAGTACATTTTTGACCAAGTAGCTCAAGTGGCCAAAGCTCATCTGGCCTGCTCAGATGGCCAAAGTTTTACCTACACCTTGTTCATCAGACTGTTAATATTTTATTCATCCTTGGTACACAACCTCATGGGAATTCCTAACCAAATTCTGGATAAAGCAGTTTTGCAGCAGTTGTAAAAATGAAAAGCCACCCTCCCTTTTAGTTTCTTGCCTCTGAAAGCCTTTAATGGCAGCTGCATTGTTGCTTCAGGTAAGTCACTGAGTGTTTACTTAGATGGGACTGGTTTATTATAATCTGTAAAATTATAATCTCAAAGCAAGCTTTGGACATAGTAACACCATCCTACGGTCTATTACAATTCATAAGGGTTCTAACTTATTTGGAAATAGCTCACACATTTTATGAATACCTATTATTTGTTGATATAGCAGTAATGAGGAGTGAACTCAGGGCCTTTGCACTAAGCTACATCCCTAGGCCTTTTTTCATATTTTTATTTTGAGACAGGGTCTCAATAAGTTGCCCAGGCTGGGCTCAAATTTGAGCCTTCTGCCTCAGCCTGCCAGATGTGTGCCACCATGTCAGGCTTAACTTTAAGGTTTCAAGTTATCAAAAAGATTTTTGTGGGCCAGGTATTTAGCTCAGTGGCATAGCACCTGCCTGGCAAGCACAAAGTCCTGAATTCCATCCCTCAACAACAACAACAACAATTTAAACTAGTTTTAAGTAGACATATATTATGAAACACAGTATTGAAAAGTCATTTTAAAATGTTAAGCTACTTACATTCGCCAAGTTCATTTATTTATTGGTACCAGGGATCAAACTCAGGACCTTGTGCTTGCGAGGCAGGCGGTATAACCAAGGTTATTTTTAACAATTATGTTTGAAATGGCCTTTAAACAAAACTAATTATTTAAATAATTCAGGAAATGCCATTCCAAAATGTGCCTCTTTGACATAAATACTTTTCATCTCAAAGCAGTCAAGCAGCAGCAAGTGGAGGAAAGTTCTATTTTTCTCTTTCATCTAAAGGAAGGACATACATTTTTCTTTACTGGTGACAGCTCTGATGCGGCACCAGAAACCCTAAATGAGCCTTGCTTCATTAGTTTATTTTTAGTTTCTTCCCTCTGAAAGCCTAAAGCTGTTTCCCTTTATAGATATCACTTTTTACTAAAGAGTTCTAAAATAAATTCATGTCAGAAAGGTGTGTTTGGAGACTGATTTAGTGCAGCAGTAGACTTTCCAACTTGGCTTGTTTCTTGATTAGTGACTCCAGGTACCCACTAATGAGCACAGCAAAGACAGCACGTCTCTAAGTGTCTCAATTCTGCACAGGTAACTTTAAAAAAGAAACAGGATTGCTTTACCTAAGGGCTTCATGATTATAATTATTTATCTAGTTATTTTTTTCCCCCTTTGGAGTGGACAGGTACTCAAAAGAAAAGATTCAAAGTAAGCTGGGAGGAGAGCACATGCTCAAGGGCTCTGTGTGCCATTCAATACACTCAGTACAGCCTACTCCACCTGCTCAGCTCACAGCCAGTCTCCTCACTTAGTCCTAACAAAAATAAGACAGGAAAGCTTGAGTAATTCTCTAAACTCTCCTTCCTGCCTGGCGTCCACCAGTTTACAGGTGTACAAGAGTGAGTAGAATGCTTGAACATACAGCCAGCTGGAGTCCCTGAAGTAAGGAGTCTGGACAGGCTTTGCACTTTGAGAATCCCCTTCCACTTTCTCATCCCTTCAAAGCAAAAGAAAATTCCATAAACTGTGTCAAAGAATCTAAGAGTCTGTTCTGACAGGGGTGCCACACAGGATGCTTCTGTTGCTTGGTAGATGGCCTTTGCCCTAGGTGTCTGGCCCTGAGGGAAGATGTGTTTGTCTATGATCCAGACATGAGACTTTCTTTGTCTTTGGAGATTCAGGTCCGTTAGACGTGGTGGTGACTGTCTCAAGGGCTTTGGACTGGCCAGGCTAGGTCCACCAATGTCTGTTTATTTTTGCTCTCCAAAAGGTGTTCAGAAACCAGCAGGCATGAAAAAGGAGTGAAATAATTTACAGATGTGTGTAAGCAGCCAAAAATGAAACCAAGTGTAGCCAACCACAAAGAACTATTGTCACCCCAGAAAGGGCTTTACAGTCCCAGGAAAAATGAAAGATCCTTTACTAAGGCAGATCCCAAATGGGTCAGAACTTGACCAAAAGGAGAAAGGACAGGAAGATACAAGAGATCCACTGAGGTGAGGACTGAGGGAGGCAGCAGCAGAGGGGCTCGAGTGGGTACCATACTGGGAGTCCAGGGGCTGCTGGTCCTCTGGAATGAGGTTGCTCAGACCCCACTTCTGACACCAGATCATGTTGACCAAAATTCTCAACAGAACAGCTTTCCAAAAGAAAGATGGATTCTATTCAGGAACAAACAGGACTATAATCTGGGGTAGTGTACTATCCCACTAACTGGGATAGTGACAGATGATAGATATAACTGGGGAGGTTGAGTCAAGAGGACTTGTTTTTCGAGACAGGGTCTCACTATATAGTTCAGGCTGGCCTTGAATTTGCTATGTAGCCCAGACTGGCTTCAAACTGTGATCCTCCTGCCTCAGACTCCTAAGTGCTGGGATTAAAGCACACCCAGCTAAGAGGAAACTGTTAAAGCCATGTGGATGGAGAAAGCTTCTGCAAGTTCTGAAACAACTAACACACCAGCGTGAAGAGGATTTCCTGGGCCAGTGCCCTCACAGAAATAATCACTGCATGGATGCAAGGCTGTGGCCTCAGAGTCCTCATCACAGGTGTTACAGAAGTGCATGAGAGCCTCCCTGTGTCCCTGGCCTGAGAGTCCATTTTGATTCTGATGACCTTCATGAATGTCCTTCTTGAGACAGAAATTTTTATCTTAATCAAGTCTAGCTCAATTCCTCTTTTTCATGGACTGTGACTCCTATAGTACATCTAAAAAGTCACTAACAAACCCCAAATCACCTAGATTTTCTCCTAGACTATCTTATCTTACTTACAGTTTTGTATTTTACAGTTAGGTCTGAAATCTGTTTTGTGTTAATTTTGTGAAAGGTGTAAGGCCTGGCTCCAGATTTTTTTTTTTGCATGTGATGTCCAACCATGTCAGCACCATTTGTTGAAGAGTCTTTTCTCTATTGAGTGCCTTTATTTCCCTGTGAGGAATCAACAATGACACGGGGGTGTTTCTAGCTCTCTGTTCTGTTCCAATGAGCTGCTGCTGCTGGTTCTAGGTTCTCACCACAGAGGGTCACTTATCTCTAAGTTTTCTATAGACAATCTTCACAGAGCTGAAGTTCTCCTCTATTTCTAAATTACAATCTTTATCATGAATGGCTACTGGATTTTTCAAAAAGTGTTTTTCTGATCTGTTGATACGATCATTTAACCTTTTTCTTATCCTCATGACATGAACACTCATGTTAACTGATTTTTCAGTATTGAATCAGCCATGCTTCCAGGGTGAAACTGCAGGTCATGGTATGTGCTGTGACATGAAAACCAGCACTTGGAACACGCGCTATAGGCCAGGGTGCAACTCAGGGTATGGCACATGCTTGGCATGCATGAGGTTCTGGCTTGGATCCTCAACAACACAAAAAGAAAAAAACACCTAAGAAAATAGGTACTTTTGCCTCCAAATGGAGGATTCTACTATATTAAGAAAACAGAATGAAAATATGGTTTATCTGTTCCCTCATAAGCACCAATTTTATTCCAAATAATCACATAATTATAAGAAAGAATTTTCCTAAGATACTTTTATAAAAAGTAACCCCAGTATCATAAATTCTGGAAATGCCATCTTGTACATTCATATTACCTTAATAAAATATTTCAAAAAGTCCATAGTGTCTATAGAGTTCATTTACCAAGTTGAAAAAAATCTTCCTAGTTATCTGTCATGATAAATGATGTTATGGTAACTTGGTAAAATTTCAGCTACTTTGGTGATTTTTCTCTTTTACAGATAAGCAACAGATAGGTACTATACATATAAAAACAAGCCAGTCTAATGGCCTGCACTGGAGGCCAGGCAGCTGCCTTTTGTCAAACCCAAATTGAACAACGTGGAATTCAGGTTGATGCAGAGGAAGGCATGTTCAGGATGCGTTGTCCTCTGTAACTCTTGAAGCATCAGGTGAATCGTAAAAAGTTCAAAAAGCTTCTTGTTACTCCTGTAGGAGAGAGAGTATGTTATTTCATTACATATACTTAAGAGATCCATCTAAGATCCATCTAAAAGGTCACTCACAATTAAGTGGAGGAATTAGCATTTGCTAAAAACAGTGGAGAAAATGGCTGACTGAAGGGTTCAGGTGTCAATACAAATAAAACAGGTTCAGACCAGGGATTTAGCTCAGTGGTGCTGCCACCTGCCTCGCAAGCGCAAAGACTGGAGAGTGATCCCTGGTCCCAAAAATAAAATAAAATAAAAGAGGTTCCATGAGAGAGACTGGGTGGAAAAGCACTGGGTGTAAAAGTAGGCATTCTACCGTCCTGAAGACTGCACCTGCTCACTTCTGGGAATGAGGAATGTTCTTCCCCATAGCTAGGAAGAGTCAATACCTGAGCGTGCAGAGTGAGCTGACTTTCACAGTGGCCTGGTGTTAGACCATAGCACACTCAGCTCCAGAACATCCTACCTTAGGATTCCTTTCTCATCTTGTCTCCTGAGACCACCACATGCCCTTGCCTACCACCCGCTCATCCACAAGGCTTTACTGCACAGGCCTACTGCACACCTGGGGGCACCACTGCTCCCAGCCCTCTTGTTTCAGCTCTGCTCTGGTTCTCCCTCTAAATCTGAAAAGAACCTGAGCTACAACACAGATCACAGAGAGCAGCACACTTTGTCTGAAGGATAAATGTGCACTCTGGGGCTACTTTTTAGAAATCTCATGAAGGAAGTGGGTAGATAACAATTAAATCTGGCTAATGTTACCACAGCCCCTGGCCCAACCAACGTAAGGGAGGATTCACCTATCATGAGTCAGCAGACTGTCAGCCCAGTCTATAAGCCAAGGAGGCAGGGAGCCAGTGCCTGGACTTGATTCCAGAACAAGACTAATCTGGTGAGCTGACAATAAGGTGCAGCTTGATGACTAGTCATCAACTGCAGCATACTAGGCATGGTGCCAACAGAGCTTTTACTCTCATCTGCCAGTCCCCTTAATGTTCACTTTGCTCACTAGCTGGAACAACGAGGCCTATTTGAAACCATGGATAAGGAGGGGACAGGACCAGGAGAAGTGGTGAGCCAACACCAAAACTATACTGTGATAAAACAAGATGGGATAGGTGTCTAGATTTGCCTCAAAGCAAACATTAGACTGTACTGAATCCAAGAAAAACAGAAATTGAAATCCATGCCCCTTCATTTATGATTTAAAAACTAGTCCTACTAATGTATGAGGAGCAGGAGGAAAGAGAAAGCCCTTGATTCTCAGAAGAAAACCCAAATCAGAAGAAGGAAGCCCCTGAGTTCCCTACAAACCCAGGAACTAAAATCATTTAAAATTGCTTTTGCGATTCATTTTCATTCCCCAACTTCCTTCCACATGTTAATAAGGAATTATAAAAGACACTTATTAACCTTCTGATTTTCACATGGGGCACTAGAGAATGCCCGTGTGTAATGACCTGTCCTGCTACCATCGCTTGTTTGCTAAACCCTGGTTTTAGGGCCCTGGAGTATAGCTCAGTGGTTGAGCATATATTCAGTATGCACTAGTCTCTGAGTTTGATCCCTAGCACCACAAAAAACAAGCAGCCTGCTCTTAGTTTACAAACTATCTATTGTTAAATACTGGTCTCAGATAAGCATCAATATTCATGAATCTTAATTTTCTGTATCTGTAGATTGGAAATTTTGATTTCCAAATCAAAGCTGAACTGGTTTGGAATTCATTAAGACTTAAATGATCACAATAAGACATACATCAATAAAAATGTTAGAAATAAATTCTTACTTGATTTTGGAAAGTTTCTGTAGAATAATACTGAGTTTTTCTAGGATCTGAAGATCAAGCTTAGGGGTTCGAAGCAGCACAGAACATGTACGAAAAAATAAAGAGTTGCTACAGGCTTCCAGGAAAGGCTGCAGGGCTTCTGCAAAACAAACCACCAAGCTTTTACATCAGGAGCAACTAAGAGGGAAATTCAAATAAAACCAGAACTGTAGAGGTGATTTACATGTATGACCTAGAGTTTCATTCTTTTATATTTAAACTTGGAGGGGAAACCATCACTTGAAAATTCAAACATTCACTGGCTATCACTGACTATAATAAAAGAAAAAGGAGATCATTTCCCTAATGTCAAACTTCTACCAGACAAGATTCAGTGGAAACCCATTCAATCTGTGGAGATGGGAAGGGGTTCTGGGATGGAGGAGACAGGGAGGAGGGGAAGGGAAGAGGAAGTAAAAGGACCAAGATGCACTATGCATATGTACCAATTTCCGTGGTGGATGTATTCGTTATGTGTTATAACATATACTAACAAAATTCTTTAAATCTCATGTTTGAAAAAAAGGATAAAAGCCATTTCTTTAATAAGCTCATAACTAAGCTCAGTTTGGCTAACTGGCAATAAGATTTTTTTTTTTTGTAGTTGAAAAACAAAACAAACTCTAAATTTAGTGATTTTTTAAAAACTAAAATTTATTTAAAATTTTAAAAATAATTAAAATTAAAAGGCAAAGTTGTAGAAAATAAAACAAGCAAAACAAGATATATGCTAGGGCCAAGGATTTAGCTCAGTGGCGCGGTACTGTACCTGCCTTGCAAAAGCAAGGTCCCAAGTTTGATCTCTGGTACCCTCCCAAAAAATACATATATGCTAAATAAAAGGGGAGGGGTGTCCTTTTTTAATATTTTTGCATAGACTGATGTAATTAAAAGAGCTCCTGTAAATCAATTTTAAAACATGTACCTAGTGGGCTGGGGATTTAGCTCAGTGGTTCTGCTGTCTGCCTCGCAAGCACAAAGACCTGAGTTCAATCCCCGGTACCAAAAAATAAATACAAATTAAAAAAAAAAACATGTACCTAGTATTTTTAATAATAAAGAAGCACACACAAAAAATTTTTACATAGAATATGGGAAAAATATTCTCAGTAAGAATAAAAGTGATTGGAATTTGGCAATTCCATTGGAGCCACTGGAATTTGGCTCTTAATAGCACACATATCCTTTGATTTAGCAATTCTCCCCCTAAGAATACGTCCAAAGATGTGTGCTCACAAAGGTTTATGAATATGAGCCATAGTTTAAAAGCCCTGTTAGAGCTTTTGTGTGTTTATTACAAAATAACATATAAAAATGCTTTTAAAGGTATGAGTCACTAGTACTGGCTGTGAGAGAAACTTGCAAAGAAAAACGTTAAATCATGGCCTTTAAAATGGTTTAACTCTTGTGAAAAGCTTCTGGAAAAGTGAAGAGGCGCCCACAATGAACACAGCCCCTGTTCTAAATTCAAATAAATTTATGTTGCCATGAAAGACACAAAAACACTTGAGCTCTGAATTCTGCTGCTATTTCACCTTCATGTGAGGTGCAGTAATTGGAACTCAGTTTGGGCCTGGAGATGCTATGCCTTCAGGAGGTCAGGTTGCTCCCCAAACGCTTCCTGGCTTCCCTGAGGAGAGCAACTTGCACTCCCCCCACCCTTCTACAGGGAGGGCCTCAACAACCTAGGACCAAAACCACTGAAACCATAGGCCAAGCAAATCTGTCCTCCTCCCAGCTGTTTTCTCAGATCTTGGTCACAGCAATGGAGTGCTGATGAACACAGCAGCAAGATCCAAAATCAAGCTAAGTGTGGTGCCTGCCAGCAGCAAAGCACCAGAGACAGTCAGGACCGTTCTGTGCAAACAACCACCAGTCTGTGAGAGGATGAACATGTCCTCTTCACCACAGCTGTCAGCCCAAGTGCAGCCTCCACGTTGGAGTCATGTACATGTACCACAAGTGACTGAATCTTAATCTCAATCACACACTCTTATTTCCTTAAAAAAAAAAATGTTTTTTTGAGATGGGGTCATATGTAGTTTACACTGGTCTTAAACTCACTGAATGAACCAGGCTGGCTCCAAACTTATGGAGATCAGCCTCCCCAGTGCTGAGATTAGAGGTGTGTACCAGCACGTCCAGCTAACAAGTTCTTAAAGACTAAAGGCTTCTTAGGTTATAGATACAATACACAATCTGTAAGCAGAATTATAAATATACTAATTGAAATTTCAAGCTGCTTCATAAATTAGTTTCATATTTTGTACTCTGAGACATGTGGTTCATGTGAATTGTACAGAACAGAGTTTACTATGGGGCGGCCATCAGAACTGAAATCAGTAGGACAGAACAATTGTTAAGTCATAATCAGATCAATGACTGGGGCTTTGAGCACACCTAACAAACCTACAGTCCACACTACTAATGTTTTTCATCCAAAAGCCTAAAAGCACATCAAGAAAGTTACGTTCAGTTGTGTGCAGAACACAAAAGTAAGGAAGGTACTTTAAGATGATGGGATCTCAGCTAAACAACACACACACATTTGAAGATTATAAAAAGTACAAAATAGTTTAATCCCCAATACTGCAAGAAAAAAAATGAAAAAAAATCCTAAACGTTACCAAATAAAAGTGAATGTGCTTGCATGGCTTCTGTAAGGGAAAAAAGCTAGGACCATCCAGAGATCTGAATATATCATTGCTTTTAAGCAGTGAAGTCTGTAAAAGTCTTTTAGAAACAAAGCATTCACTGACTTGGGCTCCCATCTCCCTAAAAGCTGTGAAACACATGAATAGAAGCTCTGGGATCCTGGTATGAATTAGGTCATAAGGTTTAAAACACTACAGTTTTACTTTTTTTCTTTTTTTTTTAGTATTACAGTGTTCAAATTGATTACATTTTTTTAAGCTCAGAAGAATTTCAACTGGAATTAACTTGGTGTCACAGACGTTGTCCTCTCAAAATCTGTTTGTTCTTTGGGTGACAATCATGTCAGGATGCAGGAATCTCACCTTGGGCCCAGTGCTTGCCATGGACTGAGGGTGGCATCTCCCCAAATGCAATGCTGGAAGAACACAGCTCATGATGATATGAAGGGGTGAGACCTCAAGGGGGTGATTCTGTCACCATTGAGGGGTGTAGGGATCAGCTGTCTCCTGATTTCTGGAAGTAGCAGAGACAGTACAGGAAGTCCCCAAGCTGTCCTGACCCAGTGCTGGGTGGGCACCTGCAGGCGCCAGGACTCAGCCACATGAGAGTCTCTGGGATTGGGGGGCAGAGGGCAGGTGCACAGTAGGGGAGCAACTAAGAGACCACAAGGTCACAAAAAATTAATAACTTGAATGGAGACACCACAGTGAGCCTAGGCTTGAGAACTGAGTATAAATGCATGTAAAACTAAAGAAAATAAAACTAGTAAAAATCAAATGTGCAAACTGTGGTCACAAGACAGAATCAAAAATATCAACTGCAATAGTGTAACTTCCAAGTCAGAAAGTACAGAAGAGGGAATACAAAGGTAACAGTGCTAAAGTCTCATCTCATTTGGAAGTCAGTCAATGCTGTCTAAAACTGAGGGTGTTTTATACCCCCCCAAAGAAAAGAGTACACTTGAAATAGTTAAAATGGAGAGTATACTAAAAACAGTTACAATGGAAATTTGGAGGTCTCCCAGGGAAATCAAGGTGTCCTCTGACTTCTCTGAGGCAACAGTGAATGCCTAAAGACAGCAACACAACTTTACCAAGTTCTGAACGAACACAGGGAGTCCCCCACTGTCCCCACTGGGGGCTCCTGAGGACAAGTGCTGGGCAGCCAGGCCCAACCTGGCAGCTCACAGATGTGAAAAACTCATAGTATGTGTATTATGGCACAACCAAAAACAGGGAAAATAGTTTTAATCTCATTTTTGAACAGAAAGAACTAGAGTGAAATTCAAGCCTCAGCCTCTAAATAAACAAATCCATCAATGTGTGGGCTTTTTCTGGTTGCTGTCCTATCCCACTATCCTGCCTCTATCAGACCTGTGCTGTTCTGATTACTACAGCTTTATATTATGCTTTCTAATCCAGGAGTCTGGTGCCTATAGCTCTGATCTTGCTCAAGATGGCTTTAGGGCTGTTGAGGGTCATATGTGGTTCCACACAAACTTCAGGAATATTTCTTCTATTTCTGTGAAGAATGATGAGGAATCTTGATAGGGACTGCTGTGAGTATGCAGGTCACTTTGGGCAGCCTGGACATTTCAGTGACACTGTTTTTCTCATCCATGAACATGAGGTATCTTCTCACTTATTTGTCCATTTATTCAATTTCTCACATTAATGTAGTTTTCATTGCACAAGTCTTTCACCTCCTTGGTTAAATTTATTAAGGGTTATTTATTTGATGATATTATGAAAATGGGATTGTTTTCTTAACTTTCTTTTCTTAAAAGCTCCTTTCTCATACAGTTCATCAGTACATGAAAATGCTAATGATACTGGTAAGTTGATTTGATAGCCTATGACTTTACTGAATTTCCTTACTAGTTCTAACAGGGAATACTAGCCTGTAGTTTTCAGTTTTTAAGTTATAGTTAAATGTGTGTGACACAGACTACCATTTAAAGTACACTGTTCAATAGTTCATACTTTTATATCGGCCTCATGTATTAGTTACTTTTCTCTCAATGCTGAGACAAAATACCTGACACCAAAAGTTGGAAGGGGGAAGGGGTTTATTTGGCTTATAGTTTGTAGAGGTTTCAATCCATAATCAGCTGGCTCCAAGGCAGGGATGGCAAACAAGCATTGCACAACACGGTGTGGACAAGGCAGAAAAGGCAACAAGGGGCATTACCAGCATCTTTTTGGCCTTTTTATCTTATTCAGTCTACTTACAGGCAGGTAGCACTCACACCCTTAATGCTAGTGCCCTTGAGCCTAGCAGTGCATCATGAATCAGTTCCAGCTTCACACTCTACACCTATGATCATGTGAGGCTTTGGGGGAACATCTAGACCCAGACCATAACACCTCACCACCCCCATCCCCAGAACTTTTTCATCTTTTTAGACTGAAAATATCCTCAGTAAAAATAGAACTCCTTCCCACC